CATTAAAATATCTGCAATCTTGTTTTGTAGTTGTCAGTGACCAACACTTACTATTCTTTAATTATTTTGGATTTTGATGATATGGCATTCATAATTCATTGACACAGCATATATTTAAGCATCTTAAACCTACAGTATTTTCTCTTTTAAATAAATATTTAAAAATGCTGTTTTGAACATACAGTGTTACTCTTTGATTTTTATTTTTTTTAAAGGATAGACTTCAGTTAAGGTGCTTCATATTCTTCAGAACAGATATATTATTTGGTTTCCATAACAGTTTCATTTTCACAAAGTTGGACCATTTATTCAGAGAATAAATGGAATTTGTCAATTATATTAAAAATGACATAAATAGAAATACACGGGATTCAGACAGCTGAGGAATTGACTCCTCGCCATACACATATGAAAGGGATTTTAGCTTTACAGAGTCACTGTAGCAATTTTCACTCCCAGTCATTGGGGTAAAAGGATGCTTCCAACCAGGACCCCTTACTTTCAGATATCATATGTGTAACCCAGTATGTCACCCATCTGGCATTCAGCATTTGGCATGCATCTGTGCTCCCACTGTTCTCAGCTCAGTTTTTGAGCTGGCACTTCTTCCAGTCGAGTAACGATATCTATAATGCACTTCCATGCAGAATGTTCATGTAATACGAATTGCCCGGAAAAGGTATATGAAAATAGTGGGGCTGCACAGATGCAGAGATTAGAAATCCAGAGATGAAAATAAATACATTTCTTTCTCTTTAGTTTGTCCCCAAAGAGAAAAATGAGCCAGTTGGCTTGAAACCCGAAAAGATTAATTCCCCCTGCAACCTCATTCCATTCTAAGCATTTTTCCTGAATTGTCAGAGTCATTTCCTTCCCCCTCCCATCCCAAACGTCTCTTAGTCAAATATGATTTTGCTATTATTACTACTTGTATTACAGGAGGACTAAGTCACAGCTCATGACCTTCATATAATGCCAATGCCAGTAAAACACTGAGGATCAATGTTAGATTCTGTCTTTTGGGACTGAGTCTACTGAGTCTAGAAATAGAAATAGATAAGCAAAGTATAATTCTTTGTTTCAGGGCTTATTCTGGTCACTTATGAGGACCAGGATTTACCTTTTTTTCCCTCTCCTTGACATACTACTACTGTATTTATTCGTCTTCTTCTGTGTATGGTTATTTTTTTCTATACATAGTTACACTGTTGCTGATTTCGGGTCAGAAAGGAATTTTCCGCCAAGTCTAGGGACTGCTGAAGGCATGTCAGAGCATTTTAATTCCCTCCTAATGCCAGGGCCGAGAATGATGGCAATGTCATTGGCCTCTCCTGCTCTGTCTCTATGGCATACTGTAGTTTTCCCAGAGTTTACCTTCAATCTGCTAAAGCTCTTCATTTGTGCCATGGCATTAAAATATGTTTTGTGGGGTTTGGAGTGTGCCCAGCATGAAATGGATGTTCAGGGATACCTCTGAATGAAAATTCAACAGCACAGCTACATGGAATTCCTAGGCTGGGCTCAACCCAAGGGGCATCATGCAGCAAGCCTTGGCTGACTCTGTAAGAGATGTGAACTCTAGTGGTGTTTGTGCTTGAGGTATAAAGCCTTCTCCACAAGCCCATGCCTCTATAGAAGGCATGACCGAAGAAATGCACAACAGGGCACGGCAGCTTTAAGACTGTGTATCCTATAAGAGCCACACCTGTTCGTTCAAGATGATATTGGAATATCAACAGGACAAACAGATACATGTATAAAAAATGCAGTGGGGTGTGGGATAAGAATCAACACTCCTAAACAGGCTGAAAGTCTTATTTTAAACAGGGAACCACGTCTGCCTGAGAATGAACATAATCCATCTTCAGTTGCAATAAATACAACTATGGAACCCCACATACTGTCAATTTGCCATGGAAACATAAGGATCTTAAAGAAAAACATGGTTTCTAACTCATGTTTGGAGTTGACATTGCAGCAAAATTAAGCAAATGAGGATTTTTTGAGAAGCAGAAATGAAACTAAAGAGCATAACAGATCATAAAATCACTAGCTTAATAAACACAACAAAAAGGTAAGCACAAAAAAAGAACAACACAATTTTGAGGTTTAATGTGTGGGTCAGTAAAATGCCTTAGAAATGCCTTAGGAACAACCAGAATGTTCCATTTCCCAATTAAATATACTAGAATGTGAGCAGCATTCAAATATATTTAGATTTATTGTAGCTGAAAAACATTCTTATTTGAGCTAAATCATAATAAATGTAGTTAGCTGAGATATTTAAAACAATAAAACAGTAAGTTTGTACAAAACCCAGAACTATATCGCAATACTCTGTTAGGAAGAAGACTTTAGTATTTATGGAGGTGAAATAAATGTAACAGGATGAAAGAGCACAACGGAGAAATAATGATTATATTTATGGATGTGCATTGAGAGATGCAAAGCAAATGTAGGAAGATGTATTTGCCCTTGACTAAGAGTTATAGAGGAAACTGACTCACTAAAATAGGCATGCACTAAATTCATGGTACCGCTTTTAATATGTGGAAAAAGGATAAAAAAGCCATTTCTGACCAGAATCATAATTTAACTCTAATTTATTCTACCCTTAAGTCCATAGATTTTGGGGGAAAAATTGATCTGTTTTTGAGAAGGCTGTTCCAATAAAGCATAGCTCTGAGAGAGAATTGACTTACAAGTGACATTGTGGAATTATTTCATTGCCTTCATCTATGTAACTAAATATTCACTGGTACTTGTGTGTCTAAACAGAGGCAAGATTTTCATTTGGAAGATGCATGTTTCTGATCAATCCTTAAATTACATTCTCCTTTCTCTTCTAGAAGGAACAGACTCAAGGAAACAGCTTCTCTTTAGTGAACATGAGAACAAAGGCAATTCTGGGAAACACAGCTTTCAGTTGTGGCAAACAAAAGCTGATTTCAGATACAGAATTGAAAAACTAGAGTAAATTTCCTTGAAGAAACAGTTACATACCATAACAATTTTTCAAATCTCATCCTTAGAAAGAAATGGCATTTTTTAATATTCTGTCTTAGCATGATTTTAACAGCAATAGTGATTTAGAAAGAGTTGCACAGGTTCACACTAGTTAAGAATCTGCTCCAGCAAGTCTATGCACAATCACAAATTTAAAATCGTACTGCTGCATTAGGCAGTTAGCTAAATGTCTATTCAGAAAAGAAACAGGAAAGGCTCCAAACCAAGCAGTCCTTTCTTCCTGCTTACAAGCAAATGAGGATTTTCTCGACAAACCTTTAGAACAGTTACAGTCTATTGCTCTTCAAAAATTGCTAACAGGAACATCTAACTTTTAAAAAGAATTTGTAAAAATCACAAGCAGAGCTCTTATGAGTCCCAAACTCTTCTCATTAATAAATAAAGAAGAAAAGCAAATGAAAACCAAGACACCATTGTGGTTTATGTGAACATATGGGGGGTATTAAAATGTAAGGAAATGAACTGCACGTACTTTTGGAGTAGCAACTTACACATGAAGAAATTAAGAGTAAAGACAGAATTCAGGCCAAAATAGTTCACACAGTGCAGCACAACCACATGCACCAGTCAGTCCCAGTAAATGACTTGAACATGCTGCCAAACAAAGCCAGAAATATGCTGCACAGCCAGCTAGATCTTGTTTAACACGAGATGGGGATCACAGGGAATACAATGAGGAGACCAGATTTAGAGCTATTTAACAAAGCTTCCTTACCATGCCAGGAAGCTTTTTTTCTGCTGCCCTTTAATATTTGTCAAATAGAAGTGGAGTATACTCCATTTGCTATTTAAAGATTCGTATCAGGCTGTAATTCTAAGTAGAGAATGTGAAACATAGATGTCTTTGGGAAGAATTTTCATCTTGAAACTTATCGCTGCTTCCTGCTTCTTTAGCCCAAGGTCTGTTTCTCACTAACTTATGGCACTGTACCAATTTCTGAAGAACACATGCTAAGGTTAAAGGTTTCTGTCAAATCAGTTCCACATCAGATACCATGATGTCATGTGTTAAGACATCTCCAGGATTTATCTTAGCATTACATAGTTTTGTATAAAGAAAGCGGCCAGTCATTGCTACTGGCTTCATCCCTTTGCATAGTTCCACTGAAAGGAAAATGGGGGAAAAAAAGGATTATTTCCACAATAAAGGAATGAATGAGCATGAAAAAATGATATAATAATGCTGGAGAAAAGGCTTCCTCCTACAAGGGGCAGATATTAAGTGAATCAAGTTAAAATTCAGTCAAAGCAGTGGAATTTTGAAAATGAATCATCACTTCACACATTTATTTAGACCTTGTAATGTGCCTTATTTGAAGCAATTCCTAGGATGCTGTTGGAGTCAAAATCAGCAATATTCAATGAGTAGCCTCTGAAAAAACAGCAGAAAGAATGATCTGTTTTCTATGGGTATGCGTTTCCAGATTGATTAACTCTTGTGTCTAAGAAAGTCCCAGCTCTGTTTGAAACTCCTCCTGCTGCTTTGGCATTTATAAAAGTGGATTATCTTCTGCTTTATAAGTAGTGAATGCACGATGCCACTTTCCTACAATTAAAGCACTAACGAGAATCTCTCTTTTACGTGGCTACCTGTTTTACCAAACCATTTGGAGACCTATTTTCCAATTTCTCTAGAGGGTAGTGAATTCAATCAGATTTGGTTGAAATAGATGTGATTTTTAGAGTGGGGATTTATAGGGAGAGTAAGGTCGATACCTGTGATTGTATAAGAAGTATTTTTTTCGGAAATTATGCTAAATAGATGTATATGTCCATGGTTGGTCTGGGTCTTATCAGACAAGTTATTATACTAGATGGAAGTAGACACTAATCCAGTCCAGCAGTTAGTATAACCCCTACATAAAGAACATATGTTTAAATACAGCTATATTGATATGTGAGCATATGTGGAATAAGTCAATTGGAACAACACTGAAGTTACTTCCTGTCCTTTTTTTTTTCCACCTTTGCAGAGTATTTGGTGCTGCTATACTGCTGACATCCTCCCTCAACATGTTAATACCGTCTGCAGCCAGAGTGCACTATGGGTGTGTCATCTTTGTTAGGATCTTGCAGGGCCTTGTAGAGGTATGGAAAAATTATAAAATAACCATTAAATGTGATAGATGCTTGTTAGCTTTTAATTAGCAATTGTAACTTTTCAGGAGAAAATAAAAATTGCTTTCAGTTTATTACTGATTTTCAGTGTAATGGATTTCAGCGTATGAATTACATGTATTTGATTTTCCTTCATCTATAAAATTACATAGCAAAGTTTTCCCTTGCTGAGAAGTCAGTGAGATATGTACTTAACCCTGAAGTTTCACTGAAATCCTGTACTGCACAGGTCTTATACTGGTGCTATTCTCAAGAGTTATTTGCTGTCCAGCCTCACAGATTAAATCTATAATAAAGAATTAAACTTCTATCACAGGCCCTGACCATGCTCTTGTTGATATGAGTGAGAGATTTACCATGATTTAAGAGAGAAAAAAATTGAGCCTGCCTTCTAAATCTATTTGTTTGCTTGTTTCTTTACTGAAAGACAGATTTTTAAGCCTGTGGTCACTGGTTCTTTGTTCCTCAGGGCTACACACTTCTGTTGCGTGAGCTGATTTTAACTCATGCACTTTATTGTATAAAAAGAGTCCAAAAGAGGGTGCAGAATGTGCCTGAAAGTTAGGTAACTGTCAATCAAGTTCTTAAAGTATATATGTATAAATCTGGATCCATTCCTGAAAAATTATCTGCATGTACAGCGGTGTGCTTGGCTGCAAAGAGGAGAGGAACAGAAGCAAGTGGGTAATTACAAAATAAAATAGCTATTTTAGACCCACTCCTTTCTGTGATACTGTTCAAAGGAATTGTGAATGCAAAACATCTCAAACAGGACCTTTTGAAGAAGGTTTACAATAAATCATGACAATCTTAAGATTATGTCTTTATATTTTTGTAAAAAGTTAACGAAAGACTGAAATGAACCTGAAATTGGTTATAGGATCTTCTTTCAAAACAGAAGAACGTATTCTACAACCTTTTTTGTATATTCAGACTGGTAACTTCAACATTTATGGTAATCTCAACATTTGCCAAAAGTCATTAATTTTTTCTTGCATAGGAAACAGAACATCAAATTAAGAGAAAAGTGACTCTATATAACTGTGCATACATCATAACTTTTAAGCATGAATTTTGTGAAAAATTAATGTTTATTTCATACTAAATCTTCTAAAATTTCAACACTGCAAGATGCCGTGATCTCTGTGTAGTTTTCCTATCATGAAGTTAAAGGCTGGTTTTGAAGAGAGACTTAAAAATAACTGGTTTAAAATCAAACCAACTAATATCACCCAATTATTTGCTTTAAGTGCTCCAGAAGACTCGTTAAAGACAAAGGTAGTGAAAAACTCTCTTAACATTATAATTTTAAGCTCTTACTGATCTTATTTTCTAGTTTTAGAGCAGTGGAACAGTAATCTGTATTTCCTAAATTATACTTTAAATGTTAGATCAAAAAATGTTAGAAGGCCACCAAACTTGAGGGTTGGAGAAATGAGCCCAGCATTAGAAAGACTCTAGAGGGTCTGTGTTTACATCCTTCCTTTGACTCTGTACTTGTGCATTAAGAGTCTTTCTTTTCAATTCTTTGCAATTCTTTCCTGGAAGGGGGAGGGGGAGTAAAAGGAAATAATAATGTTTTATATCCGTTTCATAAGGCCTCTTTAATGACTTGGAGTGATATACAATTTCAACTTTAATAGAAATTGAAGTTTTTCTACGGCTGTGCTCAGACTTGACTATAGAAATGCAAAGCATTCTCAACTTCTTGTTTGTAGCGATTAAAACAAAATAAATCATGCAAAGACAATGAACTGAGTGATTGATCAGCATTAGCTAACCTGTGGCACACCCATTCCCCAGGGGGTCACCTACCCTGCCTGCCACGGTATTTGGAGCAAGTGGGCCCCCCCATTAGAAAGAAGTAGGTTAGCAACCACTTCCTTTTGTGGTAAGTAACTTTCTATTTTTGTCTTTCTTTCATCTGTAACGTAAAAGTATTTTGAGACTGAGTTTTTCACCTTTTTCATCCACACATGTCTTGTTTTGTAGGTTCCTATGCAGGAGCTGTTATTGCAATGCCTTTAGCTGGAATTCTAGTGCAATATACTGGGTGGTCTTCTGTGTTCTATGTGTATGGTATGCATTTTTTCTCATCTCACTCCAACATTATATGACCTTACTCTTTCCAAAAATATAAAAGCTACTATTAAGAGGCCAAAAAAAGAGATGTGGGTTCATAAAGCTAAAAATACAGTCTAGAGAAAAGGACAATGAAAGAACAGAATTTAAAGGAGAGAGTAGGAAAGCAACATTATTAAATTAGAAGAGAAGCTAGTTCACAGTGAAACCTTCATCGCTTCTAGTATAAGTAGTGCAAACTGCTATGCAGAGCTATAAAATCTCAGATCATGTAAGGTCGCACTTTCATCTGTACAACTATAAGTTTAGAGTACCTGCCCTGACTGAGATGTCCTGATTTTTAACTGAAGACCTACATAACTTCATTCACACTAGTTGTGCTACCTTAACTTACACTGATGGAAAAAAATGTCCCAAAGGGGTTCATTCTGCAGTGTAAAATTGATGTGAGTTGGAGGGAAACCTTACAGAAACTTAATAAATTCAGGAAGTGCATTCCTATGTTGAAAAGAATGCTACAATCTTGTATTTTGCAGGTAAAAAATTTAGTACAGTAATCAAGCAAGAGTGGCTTAAAGCAGAATGGAACTTCATTTACAGGCTGGTGAAATGAAATGGAAGCTGTTTCATTGCATTGCATTGTACAAATTCATGTTAAAATATCAGTGAATATTCACTTACAGTGAAATCATTCTGTAAATGAAACAAAGACGACCTCACTGTGGTCCAGCTCTGCATGTATTTTGCACAAATATTGTTCCCAGGATCCGACTTTCTGTTAGAATGACTAAGTAGAAGAGCAATAACAACAATTGCAATTTAAATTTGTTATAATTATTCACAGATTTTTCCTTGATTGCTGCTTTACTGTGCATCTTTTTAAAATTCTTCTTTCCATTCCAAAGGGAGCTTTGGTATAGTCTGGTACATGTTTTGGCTTTTGGTTTCATATGAGAGTCCTGCAAAGCATCCTACAATCACAGATGAAGAAAGGAGATACATAGAAGAAAGCATTGGAGAGAGTGCCAACCTCCTAGGTGCAATGGAAGTAAGAATATTACGCACACACTTGTATCCTATGAGATAGTAATACAACCCAAAGAAAAACAAATAGAAACAACAACAACAAAAAATCAAACATCCTTTTTCTTTAAGACAGAAAAGCATGTTTCAAACAACGGAATTTTATTGGGGGTGGGGAGATCTGAAATCTGCTGATGGATTTCTGAGTGGAAATCGCTGCTGCATGACAAGAATCATAGAACCATAGAATGGTTTGGGTTGGAAGGGACCTTTAAAGGTCATCTAGTCCATCCCCCCTGCAATGAGCAGGGACATCTTCAACTACATCAGGTTGCTCAGAGCCCCGTCCAACCTGACCTTGAATGTTTCCAGGGATGGGGCATCTACCACCTCTCTGGGCAACCTGTGCCAGTGTTTCATCACCCTTATTGTAAAAAATGTCTTCCTTACATCTAGTCTGAATCTACCCTCTTTGAGTTTAAAACCATTACTCCTTGTCCTGTCCCAACAGGCCCTGTTAAAAAGTTTGTCCCCATCTTTCTTATAAGCACCCTTTAAGTACTGAAAGGCTGCAATAAGGTCTCCAGTTCTTAGCAGATCACTCATGGAATTTATGTCTCTCTTTCTACTCCAAAGTATAAAGAAACCCCTACAGCTACATTTGAAATTGCAGCTTTATTGAGACATTCATAGTACCTTGAGTTCAAGTGGCTAATTTCCCTCCTACAGAATCCCTTCTGGAAGGTTTTCCTCTTCCTAAAAGTAAACTGGAGAAAAAGCACTACTCAGTGTCTCTTGAGGTCCTCAGAACATCAGAAAAAAAGCAAATCCTGACTATTCTATGTTTCATTTGCAAGAAAGATTGTAAGTTGCAACAGAGCTAGGAGAGCCGTAGGAACATTCCCCATTATTGTGGTAACTTTGCTGGAAAAATGCTATCAAGCCTTTCATAATCTGACTTAGTTCTGTACTGGATTAGTTCTCAAGAACTCCTAAAAAATAATCTATGAACTCAGAAAATTTTCTAGCCACTTAATAATCCTATCATGCTAAATAATAATTTTCTTATTTCTCTAACTATTGAAAAGCTTTAAAGAAACTATCACCATGCTTACTAATTTAAGAAAGTAAAAAAATTTTGGTTCTTAAGCCTCACTTCATCTGCTCAAATTTTTACACCCTCCATTCCCAGTGGACCTTCACTACCACTCTTCATTATGTTTTCTAATTGGTCAGAACATTGATTCTTGATTGAACTCAGGAATAAAGCATTTTTCTCTTAGTAAAAAACATTTGATCCAGATTAAACAGGGAACTGGAAATATTACATTATTCTTTGATAGCTGACATTTTTAGGTGTTCTTGAGGGAGTGTCTGGGTTGATATTCAATAGCATTCAGCAGTGTTCATGTTTTCTTGTAAGTGCTTTTGAAAATCTGACGTGAAATGAGATACTTCAAAGGATGTCCATATAATTCTAACTTGGGCTGGATAATTTCTGTCTATTTTTATTTTTGCTTTTTAATTAAACTTTTTTTGGAAGTGATTAGTTTGTATCAATAGTTCAGTTGCTTCTAAAATATTTAGGCTGAAATTTTTCCCATAGTATCAAGTTAGCTTTTCTGGCTGGCTTCTCTTTAATTAAGTCACACTTAATCCTTAGCTCTCACTTAAGTGTAATTTAATAACTATACAAGCTATTGCATATATCCATCTATGGGCTGTTTTTCTTTGAAGAAAAGCCAGTATTCAAATCAGCAGTAGACTAAATTCAGCCTGAAACCTTGCTGAAGCGATTTTCAAACACTCATCGGGGTCTGTATTTGGATCCTGTATTTGGATCAACACAGATGGGCAGAACCCTGGGCTCACGGAGAGGTGCTGGGACTCAGCAGGATTGTAGTTCTGTCCATCTGTCATTTTTTTTTCATTATGTTATTAATTTTAAAAATACAATAAAACAAACAAAAAATATATTGACCAAGCAGTTTCAGCTGAGGCTTGATAGAAAAATTATTCAGAATGCTGGGATTAAAATTTGCATGCTAAAATACATGCTTAAAATAAATCTGGATGAAATGGTGTACTCACAGTGTAAAATCTGACTGTTGCCTTGTACACAGCAACATTGTCTTTTAAAGACATATTATTATTTTAGACTTAGTATAGTCATATTTACATGACTGAGATAATGGCACTTGTACATGAGTGTTGTGATACAGCTAAGTATCACTGAGTTTCTCCACTTGTGCATTTTGTAGTAGTTTTTACTTGCTTATGTTTTTAAATTAAATCTTGATCATCCAAATGTGAATGCATGTACTTTATGATAATTGAATTCACTGGAATTCAGATACATAAAGCTGTGCATATACGAGCTTGTTGGAGTATAGGTAAAAATAACAGATAGGAAAAGGGAAGATAGATAGTTGATAATGATCAAAATGGTGACTGCATCCCCCTTTCTATGTTTCAGAAATACAAAACTCCATGGAGAAAATTTTTTACATCTATGCCAGTCTATGCAATAATTGTTGCAAACTTCTGTAGAAGCTGGACTTTTTACTTGCTGCTTATAAGTCAGCCTGCTTACTTTGAGGAAGTGTTTGGATTTGAAATCAGCAAGGTATGTAAAAATAATGTAAAGCTTTTACCTTAGCTAAGTAAATATCAGAGCTACATTTGTGGTATTTATTAGGAGGAGGAAAGAAAAGTATTCTGTGTCTTTATCATGTCTTAAATCTTATTCCTCCCAGTTACTGTTCCCTGACCAGCACATATAAGCGAAGTAACAACAATGCCAAGGGATTGGATAGAGGAAGGTGAAGGCAGGATGAGATTTAGTGATGATCTACTTGGGGCCATATTGCAAAAAGACCTTCAGTTAAGTGCTTGAAACCAGATCATGCATGGTATTAGAAAGGTATCAAGAAATCCATTACACTTCTGTCCCTGACACCCAGGGGATGCAGGATCGCACCAAAGCTGTGAAGAAAGCATTGACGAGTGGCTCCATTTTTCCAGGTGCATTTTACAAAGCAGGACCACCTAGTTTTGGGAAGGAGAGTACAACTTGTCACCTTTCTATATCCCCCTTTAATGTGATGAGAACTGCTCCCCCTTTTTCACTTAGGAAGCGAAAGAGATGGTGGCAAAATATGAGACATAGGGATGATCTAAGGTTCCACATAATTCATATGAATTTTGGAACAGACCCATAATGTAAACATGGGTACATGCAAACAAGCCTTCAGAGTGTATAGTAAGCTTGCTACTAATACAGAAAGTGATGGAGGCTTGTGCTTTTGAGAGACCCATATTCTTATCCATGAGGTATTGTCACCCTAAATTGTGGTGTAAGTGACAATTAGATGAGTAACTTCCAAAGTGTTGCTGTATTATGGAATACTGTCAAAATTACGTAATGCCATCCTGCATTTAAAGATGGGCTTCCATCTTTAGCTGGAAATATTTTAAGGAGCTTTGCTATGCTTGAGACATCATCTGTTATGCATGCAATAAGAATGGTCACATCCTTTAGAATTAATCTAATAATTTCGTCTACAAGATTTTTCTTAGGGTCTATTCAAAGAAATGCGGAGCTTTGTAAACAATGACAGCAAAGTCAGTTCTCACCTGCTGTGGCTATGGATGCTCATAAATGAATAGTTATCATTTAGTCAGGAACACCTCAAAGCAGTAACTGCAATACCATAGTTACCTCATAGTTAATATCTGGCTTATTGGGAGAAACATCTATTAACATGAAGCTGGCTGTCACAACATAGTTGCCACATATATAAACTGCAGTGAAATACACAATTTCACAACTTTAATTGAAGAATAGAGGAAACTTGTTTTCTTTTTGTTCTCATGGAGTCTGTCTGCTCTGCACGCTGATGTAACTCAGATCAGACATCAGGCCAGACTGATACACTGTTCAGATAGGAATTACGCAAAAACCCCTGGGCATAAGCGCATGTTCAGATATACACAATAACCAGAATTCCCAATTAGAACAAAATGCCATGCATACTAAACTAAACTATCTGCAAGACAGTTATGTTGACAGGAGATAGCAGGTGGCAGTTCATGCCACACTCACTTTGAAGGAATGGTCTTCAAATATATTGTTATATTTTGGGACAGTCATCACAAAATTATTATGTCTTACTTTGCTAGTATGTACAGCATTTGGAATATTGTCAATGGATATTTAGTATGTTATCTTTCACTATGTACAGAGTTTCCCAGACATATCCTTTGCCTGTATGAAATTTGAAGCTTGAGGGATGGTCAGAAATCAAAGGCAAATGGCCATTATGCACATGAGGATAATCCACAGGGAATCTGTCTAGACACGTTAGGTTTGCTGGGCAATGCTATGCCAAACATATCACTAACAGAAATGTAGCAATTCAGTTCGACACATTTAATCATAAATTTTCTGAAAAGAAAGGGCAAAGGGACTATAAGTCAGGGAAAAAAAGACATTAGTTTAAACATAAACTGTGAAAACAATCTATAAACAAAAAGTGTCACGGCATCAGAGATTCTTAAAAACTCTGGCTGTCCTTCATAAAATACAATGACAACTTAAGATCACCAGTTTTGTTCGTTTAATAAACCAAGTTAAGATTTTTAGTTTTAGCACATAGCCTGAAATTGAAGAGAAACAATTAATTAGTTGCTGAATGCTTCAGAAAATGAAGAATCCATATTTTCTTATGGTTTATACTCTGCTACTTCTAATGATTATTTTAGGTGGGTATCTTATCTGCTGTGCCGCATTTAGTGATGACAATTATTGTTCCTATTGGGGGACAAATTGCAGACTTTTTAAGAAGCAGGCAGATTCTTTCAACCACTACTGTGAGAAAGATAATGAACTGTGGAGGTAAGTCTTCCTACTTTATGAAAAAGCTTCTTGTACAGATCCAATGTCCATACAGTATGCTGTATACAGTAAACAAACAAACTGCATGGTTTTATGTACTTATGAATCAATACTTTGTACATTTTTGGGGCATTACAGATGTGGTTACTAAAGAAAAGTAAACACAGTTGTTCCTATTCCCAGTTTCAATATAGATATTTGGTATTCGAAAAAACATTTAGGCTGTTAAAGAAACAGATGAGCTTTTGGGGGGTAATTTGCCTACCCTTAGCTACTTACTGAATCTTAGTTCCTCATCTAAACACCCTCTGCACTAAGAGAGCCCAGACAACTACCTGAGATTACATATCTGACTTCTGAGAGATTAACTTCTAACTTCTGAGAGATTCTGAGCTGAATCCTGGCTGTGATAAGGGCTGCAAAATTCATAAGCAGGTGAAGTGTATATTCCCATTAGGGTTGGCTGGAATGACCTATCCAAATCACAAGTATTTCTTTTCATCTTAAAACTGAAGTAACAATAAATTAGCATACAAAGAATAAAATAAGGATTATTTGAGATAGCATGTGTTTTTTAGGGATGAAAGAAATACCTGATTATATTCCACTCTGAGGTATTGTTTTGCCTCTGTCTTCCTATGAAATATTACCACATCCTTAGACCTGCAATATTTGAGAGGAAATTAAATCTGATGCCTGGTTTTCTCTATGATTTCCCCAGGTTTTGGTATGGAAGCAACTCTTCTTCTCGTGGTAGGATATTCTCACAGTAAAGGAGTGGCTATTTCATTCTTAGTGCTTGCTGTAGGCTTTAGTGGATTCGCCATATCTGGTAAGATTGTATTACTGTTATTAGTAAATTATTTTATCCTAAGAGATAGAACATCTCATTTGGTTTTTATTCACTGACAGTAATTTAAACAAACCTCGGAATTCCAAATGACATTATTTATGATCATTACAAAGGAAAGTACAATCAATACCACATCTTCTATATTAGATTATTTTTGTTGAAATACTTCAATCTTTCCCATATTCATTGCAGCAAATTAGACTTTCTTTTCAGCGAGGTGCTAATGTACACCATAGATTTTTCTATCAAACATATAACACAAATGGACTGGTATTATACAATGATACCTAAATTTACATGTCTTTTTCTAAATATAGGTCTTTTACTATTTTTTTCCACTGTATATTAGTTAATGCTTTGTTAGCGTTGCATTTTTTATTACTTTGGGGCCTAATTACTAGGAATTTTTTTCTGATTTAAAATTCAGCTCTTCCCCTCTCCTGCTGATATATCACCTCTTTGCCTTTGCCTTTCCCAAACACAAGTCACCTGGCCTTCCCTTGTTTTCCCACTGTGATCTTCGTATCCTCTCCCATGCTGGTTCCTTATGTCTAAAACAGGCTCTCTTTTTTTTTGTGCCAGACATCTAAACTCTCCTTAATCAAATCTGTCCTTAATCCCCCTTAATCAAATCTGTCCTTAATCCCACATATTCTGCAAGGTACCATGCCTGTTTTGTACAACTTGAAAAGTGTATTGCACTTTCTCTAACAGTTATCCATATCATACTGCCTGCCTTTTCCCTTTTATTATCTTTATGTATCCAAAGATTTGGTTTCTGTTTTCACTTACTTAAGTGCTTATTTGGGGGACAATGAGTTCTGTCACTTCAGAGAAGCATATGTTTTTTCTAGGATTATTTAAATAGTTACTGCATAGATTTGAACAGAATTAAGCTGCTGGAAATGCAAGAGAACAAACAAATATTTATAAAAATAATTATTAAATCATTTACACATACTGTCCTTTTACTCCCTTCATTTTACCACTCAAGAACAGAAGGGAACTCCCTTCTGCTGGTCTGTGTGACAAAAAGAAAAATGTAAGCAATAGGAAAGTGGTACAAGCTGGAAGAAGAAATGACATGTTATTTACAGCATGAAATGGTCATGAATGACACTGCACAAATATGAACTTTCTCCCTGCCTAAATATCTTCTGGGTTCTCTACTCCACACAGTCACTACTGGGATTTTTTTTTTTAAACTGCAATTTTGGGAAGAAAATACATTCGGTATCCTTTTATAATATATTTTTAAAATAAAATGAAAACACAGAGTCTCGCTAGGAATATTTAACCATTAGAAGCCTTTTAGAGAAAAAGAAATACAATTAAACAGCCCAAATATGTCATAGTAAAATTGTCAAGTGATAGTATTACTATTCAGAACTGAAGTAATGCTCTGCTTTTGGTATGAATGTTTGCTGACCTTTGTGTTGCAGGATTCAATGTCAACCATTTAGACATTGCCCCGAGGTATGCCAGCATCTTAATGGGGATTTCTAATGGAGTCGGGACCTTGTCTGGAATGGTTTGCCCTATAATTGTCGGAGCAATGACAAAGAACAAGGTAAATGGTAATACAGTTTTCAAATCTTCCAGTTTAATACCATTGGTTTCAAGAAAAAGACCTTTCCATAGTACAACTTGCCAGAATATCCATGTTAAAGTCTGGGACCTCTAGGGGATAGCATCTGGGAACTTGTAAATTTGAAGCATGCTTCACTGTATGTTCACTAGGTTGGTCCTTTTGTAGGCTAATGAATAGTGATTTTTCAAAGGAAGCAATAATTAGAAACTGGACACTGAAATGTTTTAGTTGTGCTGACTGTCACTGCCTCAATCCCTAATTGAAATCTTTCTGCTCAGAAGAGTTAGATGATTCTATGTACTAGTCTGATTTAGCAAATTTCTTCTTTACAGACACGTGAAGAGTGGCAATATGTCTTCCTCATTGCTGCTTTAGTTCATTATGGAGGTGTTATATTCTATGGCATATTTGCTTCAGGAGAGAAACAACCCTGGGCAGACCCTGAACAGACAAGTGAAGAAAAATGTGGCTTTATTCATGAAGATGAACTTGCTGAAGAGACAGGGGACATTACTCAGAATTATGTAAATTATGGTACCACCAAGTCTTACGGTGCTACAACCCAGGTCAACGGTGGCTGGCCTAATGGTTGGGAGAAAAAAGAGGAATTTGTACAAGAGGAAATACAAGACTCATACAACTACAAGGAAGGAGATTATTCATAACAAACCTAAATATTGGGTATATTTTGTAGTGTTTGTGATTAAATTCATTGTGATTGTTTGCACACAGAAATAAAATGTGGTATAAACATGTAAACACATATCAAACAGGAAGGTCTTACTGTAAAAAAAATCCATTAAAGTGCAATCTGTATGAGTTGTGATGTCATCACTTTCATTAGGTTATATTTGTTCTACAAACATTAGAGTTTTAAGGGTTTACTGGTCAAAACTATAGAGGCAATTAGATACTTACAGTATACAAGAGCTAAAACTCATAACTAAGGATTAAAGCACAACTAAGCAACCAAGTTGGCACATCTAATGCTCTTTTTAGAAAGCCAAAATTACTTGATCATTAAAAATGCACTTATATATTTGTTACACTGTATTGAAAGAGATTGTGTTAAATACACACATTTACTCAGTGCAATGTGGGAATTGTGTGTTTAGTCTAAGACAAGAGTTTTCTTAAAGAAGAAAGGTTGAGTCCTAGGCATTTACAAAGGATTGATCCAGTTCCTTTAATGGTAATTGTATCAAGCCTAAAGAACCAATAGGGCATATTGTATGTTTATTGTGATTACATGCTGCAGGCTACTCTGTGATGAATAGAGGAATTATTTAGGAGTTTTATACTGAATGTTTGGGCACAAATTCTTATTTCTATTCTTTACAGAATCTTTTGAAATTGTAGGCATTGTCACGTTCTTCCCTGCATTTATCAACTAATATAAAACCAATATATAATGTTAAGTCTGACTTTTCATGCAGACTGTCAAATCCCTTTATCAAAAAACAAGCTTTATTATTCTTTTCTTTGCAGTATACTCCAACTTTGTACTGGTGTCTTTAGAGAGAGAGAAAAAACCAATATAACCTAGAAAAAGTTATAGTCTTTTACAAAATTCCAAAGATAAATTTACTATGAGCAAGTAGCCCTATGAAAAAGGATGTATTTGTTTTGCAGAATATTTTGAAGCCAATAGAAGAAACAGAGAATAATTTAACCCTTATTCTTCCCTTAATAGCTTTCATATTTTTACACATCGTGCCACAGTTGTATACATAGATATAAGTTTATTGAAGATACTGTAATTATAGAAAATGTTGCTATTTTAGAAATCCCTGAAATAAAAAATGTATTTGTCTTTCAATTAAATCTGATAATAATGGACACTGAATATGAGTAACATATAAACTCACAATAAACCAAAGTGGCAAATAACTAGTGTTGGGTTGAAAGAAGCCAACAAGCATCACGCTTGTCTTTTTAGCATAACTCAACAGTGACTGCAACATTAGTGTACCAAGCAATAAGTGCAATGCATTACGAAGTGCATAATCTTCTAGACTACATATTAACCTTCATTTAGCTTGTTGTATATATTTGGGGTTGTTGGGATTAAACCAAACTGAACCAAACTGAAGTTAGCAACACCAGACCACTTCTTAATACTCTAAAATGACAACAATGATCCATTTCTTAATTCAATCAAATGATTATTATTGTATGTAATAATCCATTCTGGGTTCTTGGTCTGTTCATTGTATTGTGCTAGTGATTGGAAACCCTGCTGCCGCAATATACAACTTGAGGATTGTTTCTTCTCCTTTTTTTTAATGCAAACCATACCTTGACCTTAAGAAAAAAATATTTTGCTTTGTGCCTCAAAGTGATGTAAAATGTGACCATAGCTTTTGCTGTGTTTAATGAAAAAGATGTGGACTGTGTCACTTTTGTTGCTGCAAAAAGTGTTAATAAAATGCTCTATTTATCCTTTTATATAAAAAAGGACCATTGTAGTTTCTTGTAATTTTAGATGCACTTTAATATAGATGATTAAAATTATAGTCACTGCAGAACAAATTCTGCTATCAACATGGAGATAATATCTTATGTCCCAGGTGGGAGGAATGCTGAACACCCAACGTCCTGCATTGTCTACTCTCTCCTCCAACCATGCACAGATGTGTGGTGGGAGAGGCACCTAATTCTAGATTGCTGTTCCTCCTCTCATAAGGATAGCTGGAGTAGGCGCGGAAGAGAAAGGAGCAGGAGGATCAATGTGCCAGCCAATGCAGCGAAACCGGGCAAGACAGACTAATCTATGTTAGCTAAAGAGCTGGCGTGGGTCAGCATTCTCTAAAGAAAGTGAAAAGCATCACAGACTGCTGATCTTGGAATTTGTTTCCTTTCTTGCTCCTGCAACAAGACTCCTTAACTGAAACATAATGTTACTTTCCATCTGTCTTTGGATAGACCCTAGAGGAATCAATAAAACCAGTAAATTCAACAAACCCTATAGTAAAAGTACAAACAAAATTTTCTAACAAAATTTTTACTCGTCAATAATTTTCTATCACCAAGTAGAAGAATGTAGAAACACCAAACTGAACAAAAGGCTGCAAAACACTAGATAGAACAGTAATGGGCCCAGTGTTTCTCACCACTAGACTAGTTGTCATGAGATGCTGAGTCAGGTAACACACAAAGTTACTGCTAATTGTTTTGATGGACTGGTGTGATGTTGCCATGGAAACTTCCTGAAAGATTCAAAAGTGGGATAAATAGGGGCTGTAGAAGTATGGTTGTATTTATCATGGTAAGTGGACAGCTCAGAAAATGAAAACTAATTAACAAAATCAAAAGCAATTCTTCTTACTTTTCAGTCTAATCTTACAGGTTCTCTATCTTTTGAAATTGTTTCAATAATTTTCTTTCATTAAATACAGGTAATTTTTTTTTTTATTAGCTTGACACCTTTTAATTACCTAGAACAAAGGAGAGACTTTAACCTAGGCATTAGACATTGCACTGTTCAGCCATGCACAACCCAGTGGGAACTCAATAATTGCCTTTAAACGCTACACCACTCTAAGATCTTCTCTTTCTAGCTCTCTGCTTCTGCTTTGACTCCTTTACTTCCTCTTTAAATGGCAGTGCAGAGGAATCCGTTCTTCTGGGAAGGAAGAAGAAAAGGAAATGGAGAAAATAATTGGGTTTTTGCAGAGGATGATTAAGTGAAGACAAGTAGCAACAGCTGGATCTGTTTTAGGGAAAAGGAGAATTGAGGGGATATGACCCTTCATCTAAACTCCTATATTTCTTCTCAGGAAATACATTTGTGTTTCTCCCTTGCTACTTCATTTTATAAAGCAGCATTGCTAAAATATACCTCTTCAGCCTCTTCTGAACTGTGCCCTTTCTGCCCAGAGATTTCTTTTCTGCACTCAGATTCAAAGGCTAGCTCTGCAGACGCGTTGCACTTGTACGGCACAGTGTTCATCTTTTGGAACTCTTAGCATCTCCGATCATTCCCATTTATCAACCAGACTGTTCACAGTCACTTGATCATTTTGTCCTGTCACCTATTTCTGTTCTGTTCCCCTATCCGGTACTCTCTGCTCACTTACTATGTTGAAAAAAAGGAAAGGAATTGTTACTCACACTTTTATTTATCTGTTAATTATCTTTCCAATGAAGAACAATAAGTAAAAGGAAGGGGTAGAATCCAGGCTCCATTAAAATCATTAGAAAAGCTTTGAGTTTAGATGGGCTAGAATATCACCTCAATGTTCACCTTTATGTCCTCAAATGATTTCATATAGACAGTATCACTCAACCAGTGACAATTTTTTAAATATTTGAATCTGCATTGGTCAGATCCCTTCTGTTAACACATACTCTTTGTTGCAGAGATAAAGCTATCATAAACTGCTCTTTGCTTTCAGAAATGATCATGAAATTCAATGGACCAAATTTCATAAAAACACTTTTCTATGGGGGAAAAGAAAGCCTCAAGGTAAAGGTTGAATAACAGTGACAAAAGAATATCTGCAAATATGAATGAAGTCCTCTTTCAGCATGAAGCCAGGAATAGGAATGAATGTGGAAGTCAGAATAAATGTCACAGTTCAAAGCCGTACTGTTAGAAAGATAACATCACAGTCTTGGTTGCTGCCTCTGAAAGATGAAATGTTTTGTTCCTTTCAGGATAAGCTGTGAAGGAGTTTGAAGGCTAGCCTAAGTCTAGATTAACTACTTAGCAGCAGCTGCTTTTCTATTATTTTGTCTGTGTTTTTTGCTTGAATAATTTTCATTGCACTGGGAGATTTAAGAGTAAATAATCAAAGGACCTAGAACTATATATCTGACCTAGTCAGATATTTTAATTAGATAGCTATGTATATCCTCTCTGATCCAGCTAATATGTCTGATGTTGCTATTCTAGCTTTGCTTAACACTTTTTCACTCTGTTGTAACCCAGAGTGAAAGAATTTTTGTACATATTTACATATGTACAACTACTGAAGCCTGTGTACTTAGTTATACTGAGGTCAAGGGCTTAGACAGTATCTTCCATATTTGAGAATTAATGTTACAAAATTATTATTGGCAAATGCCTCCTTGGTAAGGCTTTTAGCATTAGAAACATATAATCCTTGCAGTTTTTGCTTTAGGTGAAGCCACATTCTCTCAAATGCCATGGGTGAGGCATTAGAAAACAATACAAAATAAGATTTTGAGCAAGTCCAACCTCTGACAGGCTCTTATCTGTAAGAAAGTAAGTAGAGAATAAGTATGAAAGGCAGATGTAATGTCAAGCATAAAATATAACAATAAGCTAGAAATTACAGGAGATAAAGTGTTGTAAGAAATTTAAGGAAAAGCTTATAGAAGAGCTGCCAAATTTCCTCACTTTTGCTCATGGCAGAAGTGAGAAGGGAAAAACTGAATATGAAGTCCTAAATACCTGGTCCACCCTGTCCTGAGTCTAAAGCATGATGAAAAGTTGGCTCAGAAGCTGATTACCACGTTCTTGCTGCACCCTACCTTGTCCTAACACAGTTTCTAACACATTTCTCCTTCAAGGCCATGAGGGCACTTTTGGGCCTTAATTGCTCTGAGTATCCTGCCTTGGGACTCCCATTTGCACCCCCATCCATGACCCAGGAGCCCCATTTCAGCTCAGGCCTGGGCTTCCCTGTCTCTGCTCTGTCTCCTGAATAGAAGTTGGATCTATGTTTTGTCCTTGTCTGCAGTCCTGCCTCTGGCCCACCTCCTGTTGCTCCTCAGAGGGCTCTCTGGACGCACCCTGGACCTGATTCATTCCTTCCTGTCTCTGGGACCGTCGCTGGAGCTAGCACCCTGCTCTGCCCATGCTGCTCTGACCCTGTGGGACTGCACCCTGGTCAATAACGGCACAGCCAGCAGCTGGGTCACTCTCGGCTCGTGGCTCATTTCCCTAGTGAGCTGCCCTTCCTGCCCCTCCTGTTCCCTGTTGGACACTTCTGACACTTGGTGTTGTATTGCTCATCCTGACACCTCCACCATTACATTGTCTAGGTCACAAATGGGGAATTTTCCCCATAGCAGGAACTTAGTATTTAGTACTTACTTAAGTTGATATAATTAAGGTTCATAATATTTCTAGAGGTATGAATAGCCTAATAATATTCCCCAATTTAAGGGATCTCCTTGAATTCAGAATGTACTTTTTTAGAGCGTCTGTTCTCTCTTGAAAAAGAAATATGAAAAAGAGCTTTCCTTGAAGAATGGAATTTCCTTCATCTATTCAAATGGTTGCACTCCTCCTACCAGGGTTTTCAAGCTTCCTGCGCATCACACTTACTGAAAAATCTGAACTGATAAAGTAGGACATGCACAGTAAAAATGATACCAGGAAATGTTGGACTTACTATTTCCATGCCATGCAGATGCATAGCACATGCACTGTAAAAATGTGTCAAGGTCCACACAAACAGTGTCTGGTTTACGTCAGTGTTCAGAAGATGCGAGTGGATGGCTGGATGTCCAAGGATCCAGAGAGAGGAAAAGATTCCTTGTATTTTGAAAAATATTTTTGTGTGATACAAGAAGTTGTATCTAGAAGAATCCAGATACATGTATGATAGCCCTACTCACTTATTTACTTCTCTCCACCTTTCTGTAGCATCTGGGAAGGTCAGTGAAAGGCCACTATTATGCCAAAAACAGATGTAAAAAAAAAGCAAATATGATGCTTGGAAGCAGAAAATGAACTAGATAAGAAAGCATTTCAAAAATAAAGGATAGCATTGTTAAAGTTGGAAGATTGACGTGTAATTAGAGTTTGTGTTGTATAATCAATTAAACA